CCTTGCGTTATGCGGGCCTCTCACTGTTGTGGCCTCTCCCATTTGCGGAGCACAGGCTCCAGACGCGCAGGCTCAGTGGCCATGGCTCACGGGCCCAGCCGCTCCGCGGCATGTGGGATCTTCCCGAAACGGGGCACGAACCCGCGTCTCCTGCATCGGCAGGCGGACTCTCAAGCACTGCGCCACCAGGGAAGCCCGCTGCTATTATTTCTAAGAAAAAAAAACAAATGGGGGAGAAGAGACAGTTCTTGCTTATAAAATAATTGCAGTTAATAAATCTAGAAAGAATGAGGGAACCACAAAATCACCATTAGGTAAATACCACAGTAAGAACTGTGGCAGGCCAGATTCACTGGAAGATGTTTTAATTAGTGAGTGAAAGTTTGAGGAGAAACTGGACCTTTACATAGTCTTCTGTATTTACCCCCCAAATTTTTAATAATTACAAAAGGAAAAAATCATAATTTTACAGTGCGGAAATCCAGTAGACATTACATGAACCAAATGATGGAGGTTAACCCCGTCAGTAATAATGTGTGTTGATCTCCAGTAGCCCTGACATGAAACACTAAGAAGGGCACTCCACCTCTGCGGTTTCCTTCCCCCAAGTCTGTAACCCCAGTCTAATCATGAGAAAGTAGACAAATCCAAGTTGAGGGACAGTCCACAAAATTCCTGAGCAGTACTCTTAAAGGGCAGCAAGGTCATAAAAGACAAAAAAAGCCTGAGGAACTGTCACAGGTTGAAGGAGACTAAAGAGGCTTGACAACTCAATGTGGGATCCTGGAAAAGAAAAAGGACATTAATGGGAAAACTAGGAAAATTCAATAAAATTGTGGTTTAGGTGGCGGTATTGTACCGATGTTATTTTCCTAATTTTGATCATTCTACCATGGTTATGTAACATTAGGGGAAGAAGGGTACACAGGAGCTCTGTATCCTATTTACAATTTTTTCTATCAGCCTAAAATTATTTCAAAATAAAGGTTTTTAAAAAATGTACATTGGGGCTTCCTTGGTGGCACAGTGGTTAAGAATCTGCCTGCCAATGCAGGGGACATGGATTCGAGCCCTGGTCCAGGAAGATCCCACATGTCGCGGAGCAACTAAGCCCGTGCGCCACAACTACTGAGCCTGTGCTCTAGAGCCCGTGCTCTGCAGCAAGAGAAGTCACCACAATGAAGAGTAGCCCCCACTCACCGCAACTAGAGAAAACCCACGCACAGCAAGGAAGACCCAAAGCAGCCAAAAATAAATAAATAAATAAAATTAATTTATTTTTAAAAATAAATAAATAAAAATGTACATTGGATCATATTGCTTCTCTGCTGAAAAGCCACCAATAAGCACTTAAAGTAAGATGTATACTTCTACTCCATGGCTTACAAATTCCTACACAATCTGACCCAGTTCACCTCTCCAGCCACTTTTGCTCTTACCCACGATGTGACCTGAGGCCTTTTGCACTCACTGCTTCCTCCATCTGGGATGTCCCTGCCCTCATTGTCTTTAGTGGCTCCGTATCCTTCAGAGCTCAGCTTAATGGTCATCTGCTCAGAGATGCCTTCCCTGACCACCCAGCCCAAAGCAGCTACCAATCACTCTCTCTTACTCGCCACCCTCCCGCCCCCAATCTGGTATTTTTCTTTTTGTGTTTTGAGTTTTGTATTTTTTATTTTCTGTCTGCTGCCGCTTGAACATAAACTTCATCAGAGCAGTGTCCTCATGTGTCTTGTCCATCTCTTTATTCCCAGTGGCAAGAACAGTGCCTAGTACATATGAGATCATCCATAAATTTGCACTAAGTGAATTAATGCTGCCAAGCTAATTGGTTTTGTAGTTCTTTGGTTCCCTTATCAGGGCACATCTGAAAATCTAATTAGGAGTTAAACATGAAAAGATTTTTATTTGTCTCTGAATTAAGTCCCAGTTGAGTGAAACCTTATAAGTAGAAACATTTGAGTTATCTGATACCTTATTGCACCTGAATTTTAAACTTCTATAAATGTATTTCAGTATTTGAATTTTAAAATTAAAATTAAGAAATGAACATCCCTTCTTGGAAGATGACACAGTCATCACTAAGTCATCCAACCTGTAGCCTGATGCCACTCAAACTTTTTCCACCACCCTCTGAGCAGCGCTGCCCACTACCAGATTCCAGCCCTTAAAATGAAGCCTGTGTTTCCAGTCCAAGTTTAATCCTCAAGTGTGTAAAATAACCAAAAATGGATTCTCAAGTGCTTCAATCTACTTAGGTTTATTTAGGAAAGAGTACATTTCACCACCCTTGTAGTCATTCAGGTACCATGCAATGGTTTCTTCCTAGCCTTAAGTTCATGTGTTCATTTGTATGTGACTTGAGGTTTCAAGGTAAAAAAGGTGACAGTAGCCTCATACTGTTATAAAGAACAGTGTGAAATTTTTCCTTATTGTGCATTTGAGTCCCATATTAGTAAGTGGAGAGGAGGAAGAATGGAAGGTATTAAAAAACAACAAAACATATAATTATAGGAATTTTAAAAACTTACCTAGAACCAGGACATAAATATCAGATAAATATTTAGAGTCAAGTATACAGCGATAACAAGGCAAAAGTTATAGTTAGTTCAATTTCATAAGCATTTAATTAGTGCCCTGAATAAGACTCTATGCTCAGCCTTGGGAATCCATAGTTTGGATGAGGTCCCTGTCCTGAGAAAGCTTAGGTTTTCACGGGAAAGACAGACACATTGCCCACCCACGGGCACCCCAGTACCAGCTGCTGAGAGGGCGGCTGCTGTCACAGAGAAAGAGGGATCACCTGCTTCACAGAGGAAGTATCTTTTGAGCTAGGCTTTAACCAATGAATTTGATTTTGAGAAACAGAAGAGGAAAGAGGGTAGTCACTTGACCATCAGGAAGAATGGATTCTAAAGCCTCTTCTCCGTGGAATGTTGAGTGTAAGCTAGTCACAAATTAATAAGGAAGCAGTAGTAGCTTTAACCTTCACTTTTGGATTCCTGGTTCCTGGCTAATGTTCTACAGCTGTTGTTGGGGGGATAGTGTCAGGAATGGGATGCATTCTGAAAGAAGTCTGGATTGTTCATTAAAACAGACAAGAATCCTGGTAGCATTTAGAAAGCATTTTTAGAGACAAATGATTGGTAAATGCGTCAGTACAGAAATGTGAAATAAGAGTAGTGTTCAAAGTATGTCCCTAGCAAAGTCTGTGTTCAGAGAAAAAACATTCTGGGAAGCTCAGTGTCACTGCTTGCCTGTGGCTCAGCTGTTGGTGAATGTGTATTTGGATCAGTAGCTGCCTAGCAGCCCGCGCATCCATTGTGTGGATGCACTGCATTGATCAAATCAGTCCCCAAGGTAGGGAATGAGAATGTTTTGCTACTATAAATAACTATGCTATGATTCTATCTGTATATACATCTTTGTGCCCGTTTTACTACCTTCTCAGGACGTAGTTTACTCCTAACAGAAGTACAACGTCAAGAGATGTATACAATTCTGACTTTTTAATGTTTACTGCCAAATCAGTCTGTAGAGAGCTTGTACCAGTCACTTTCTCACCAATAGCGCCCTCTGAGGTTGTCTTTAAAAAATAAGGCCAAATATATGCAAATATTGAATCATTATGTTGTACGCCTGAAACTAATGCAATGTTGTATGTCAGTTATACCTCAATTTTATAAAATAAGAACAAAGAGTCAGGTCAGGATTAGGCATTAGCAATTCAGATTGGGTTCCAGCTCTGCATTTTAAAAATCCACCCCAAGTCACCAACTTGATTACCTACATACCCTCACCCTCCACCCTCTGCTCCAGCCAAGACCTATGCCACGGATAAGGTATTTGAATTGCTTTACAATCAAGTGGAATGTAACTCAGAAAGCAGGGATCAAAAAGTCAGGAAGAGGGAATAATAGGGGGAAACTGGCCCTACATTATAGGCAGCCACAAAAGATTCCCACAGTCATACTTGACAAACCCAACTCTTTTATTTCAGCTCGAAGCAGCACATTATCAGCTCGCTTTTCAGTACAGAGGTCATTTTCTGGTTCTGATTACAGAGCACCAAACGCACTGACAGATGCACTCAAGTGAATTTGATCTCTCGTTTCGTAAATGGAAGAACAGCATGAAAGTTAAATGCGGTGGAGGCTTACCTTGTAGCCTTCCACTTGGATTTAATTTCGTCTCGTTTTTGCCTTTAGAAGAGAGAGGACCTTGTGATTTGTCTCTCTCCTCTCTGTAATAAAAATGTTCATTGTTCATGGCTCCTTTTGGTCTTTTCTCCATCAGTCTTGTCTCAAGAAGAAAACGAACTGGGAAAATTTCTCCGATCCCAAGGCTTCCAAGATAAAACCAGAGCAGGAAAAATGATGCAAGCGACAGGAAAGGCCCTCTGCTTTTCTTCCCAGCAAAGGTGTGTGGCCTGCACTGGGGCTCTGTTGTTGGGGGAGGTCTCCTGAGAACCTGGGACCCACTCATTCATGAAGGGAACCTCCTACTGGGCTTTAGAAGGCTCTTGCCTGCGATTGAGGAGCTCCTCTGTTCACAGTTGTTAGTCTGTTCGTACTTAACTCTGATTCAGATAACATGTATAATCTTTTTCCTTCCCTATTAACTTTTAAAAAATGTTTTCATATTTCTTCTGGTCTATAGTTATATACCAGTCACCGTGAGTGCTATCCTAGGCTTATATTTGACCTTCAATGTTCCTCATAGCAGTCCATCCAGTCCACTTCCAGCAGCTGACTAAAGCAAGAGCCTAATGAGACCAGGCAGAAGGGTTCCCCGAGTGCCCTCTGGGGGCAGTTAACTTGAGAGGGGTGCTGTTCAAGATGCCCTCCACGGTTCTGCTCAGACCCTAGATCAGCAGCATCAAAAGCCTCACCTGAGAGTTTGTTAGCAATGCAGAATCCAGGTCTCACCCCAGAATTACTGAATCCAAATCTGCATTTTAATGGGTCCCCAGTTGTTTTCCATGCACATTCAAGTTTGAGAAGCTCTGGTGCAGAGAAAATTGTAATAGATCAGTGATTTCTTTTTTAACACTACCATAACTTATGTTCAAGGTCCATGTAGAATAAACAGGAGCCACTGCATAGAGTCACACTTTGTATCTGAGAAGGTGACATTCCTTCTCTCCTCTTCCTTCCCCAGAACTAACAAGCCCCCCAAAATGTCAGTCACTAATATTAGGCAGACTTTATACCTAAATAAGTCTCTAAAAATATTCGGGCCACAAAAATTTCACTCACCTAACCTGTCCAACATTTTCTTCTGCTGTTAATTTTTCCTTACTGCCTTCTCTCCCAGTGGGCCAAAAGCAGGCCACCACCTGTTATACATGTGTTCCTATGAAGATCCAAGAAAGGTGGGGTGGAAAGAAAGAGAACCAAATGTGTTCATTTTTCAGTGGTTCCCCCTCCTGAGCATTCTGGTTCTCTCTAATGACATTTGGACCCCAACTTCCATAGTTGAACGCAACAATTTCCAATAGTTCTCTACCCCAGTTTTCCAAGAGAAGTGTTGGTTTATAATCTTTGATTGCACCTTTTAATCTTATTTATAACTGTTTTCCTTGCAAAAATAATACATACTCATTCTAGAAAAATTTTAAAACAGGAACAAACCAAAACGAGAAAATTAAAAACAACCCAAATTTTGCTAATAGAGATTGACTTGCTGTTAACCCCTTGATAGATACTTTCAATGCATATACGCTTGCCCCAGTCTTACAAGGATCGTTGATTCTTGAAAAATCTTTCATAAATTCTCATATATTTATTTATAAATATATAAGCATTATATATTTCTTAGATTATACATATAATTATCACTAATTTCAGTGGGAAAAATCCTTATACATACCTTCATGCCAAGATTACCATCCATTTATGGGAAACAAGCCAGATCCTTGGACGCAGTCACCACAAGAGTTACTGTTACTGATCATATAATTATTTTATAATGTTGCTATCCAGTTATACACTTTCATAGTTTCGTACAAAGTTAGCTCACAAAACATATGGTACCTTAAGTTTATATAGTCTAACCTTTGGATACAGACAAAAACAGTAAAAGAAATCAACCAAAACAATGTAAATGATACTGTAAACCAGCAAACTGCCCTGTATCCATAAATTAATGTAGCTTGGACAGCTTGCAGTTTGGAAGGTGGCCTCCTGCAAGATGACTTTGATTCCATGGTACTCAACTGCTCACCAGGCACATGAAATCCAAACTAGTTCTCTGCACATGAGGAAAGTAGGAAGATTACGTAAAACTCCCATAAAGTTGAATTCTCAAACCTCGAATGGACATAGTTTGGGATTTGCCAGAATATATTTTTAATATAAACAGCAGCATACCATACAATTTTTGAATAGTTTTGCATACTGATTATTGAGCAAATTGATTTTTTGTTCAAATAATCCTAACTTCTTTTATGTCCATATATACCTTTCTTTCTTTTTTTTTTTTTTTTTTTGGGGT